CGGGGGGGGGGGGAGGGGTGTCTTCCCAACCTGACCGTAAGCGCAGCACCTCGTATTTTCTCTCAGCAGTAGAATGTCAGCCACGTGTGGAACCCTTTTTTTTAGAAAATAAATAGAAACGGATGAAATTGTTTTTAATAATAAACGAGTATTTTATTTATCAGCATATACAGTCTGTTATTTCAACGTGTGCATCAGTTTTTAAATTATTAATGAGATATTTTATTTTTTTCATTCAAAGTCTTTGAAATCTGGTGTGTATTTTACAATTAACAGCACACCTCAATTTGAACGCTGAATTTTCTGTAGAGCTACTTGATCAGTACCCAGATTTCATAAAATTTGTAGTTGAAGGGCCGGCCGGTGGTGCACTCGGTAGAGTGCGGCGCTTGACAGCGCCTCGGCGCTCCCGCCGAGGGTTCGGATCCCATATAGAGACCGGTCTGCTCACTGGTTGAGCGCGGTGCGGGCGCGACACCGAGGATTGCGATCCCCTTGCCGGTCACAGTACAGGCGCGACACTGAGGGTTGCGATTCCGTTACCGGTCACGAAAAAAGACAAAAAGGAAAAAAAATTGTAGTTGAAAAAGTAGCTTCATATACCCAAGTTATTCCAGACACACACAAAAATTCTTCCAATAGGTGAGTTGTGTCAGTTTTTAGTTTAAATTTAAATTTATTAAAATTTTTAAGAATTAAAACTGCAGTTTTCAGTCACACTAGCTGCATATGGGGCTGGTGGCTACCATATAGTACAGCACAGGTCTGGGGGGCCATGCTATGCCAGGACTAACATGAGGTCAGAACTGTTGGGAGGGGGAAAAAACACACATATTTCTAGTGATGAAAGTCATTGTGACCCCCAATGATTTTCACCTCCTGGGGTTTGTTCAGGCCTTTGTGTAATTGCCTTCCTGAGTGTGGGCGGGCCTGTGACTTGTTTCTAATGACTAGAATAAATCAAAGGTGATGCGATGTCACTCTGATTATGTGATGTAAAACTCCTTAGCAGGTTGAAGACTCTCCCTGCAGCCTGATGAAGTCAGTAATCATGTTGAAGTTCACGTAGCAAAGAACTACAGGTGGCCTCTGGAAACAGCAGGATGCCTCCACCAAACAGCCTGCAAAAGGTGGAGCCCTCAGTCCTACAATAATAAGGAAATGAACTCTGCCAACAACCTTAATGAGCTTGGAAGCAGATTCCGTCCCCATTTGAGACTCTAGATGAAAACACAGCCTGGCACGTTGACGGCCGCCTTGAGAGACCCTAACAGGGGATCCAGCTAAACTGTGTCTGTCCCCATGGAAAGTGTGAGATAATATATGTGTGTTGTTTAAAGTTGCTAAGTTTGTGGTAATGTGTGACACAGTGTAAGATATGGGAAAAACCAATATCTTCCACACCTCCATTTGAACACTGGATTTTCTCACATCAGCCCTATTCTCACAGCTCTCAGTATAGACCATCTCTGCTCACCAAACACTCCATACACTCAATACTTCTGACACCTGATGTGTGTGGGGTTTTACCCCCCACCAACCAATTCTGCAGCAGACACCAGCTGAGTGTCCTCTAATTCAATTCAGTTCTGACACTGTCTACCTAGAGAGAGTGTCAGATCTCACAGGCTGAGGATTCGGTCCCACAAGATTGCTCCAGTTCAGATGCCAGTCCCAAGTAGTTGGCTGTCACCTATACTTCTGATCAACTAGCTATAAATCAGGAGTTCCCGCAACCCCCTCCTTGGATTAATTTGCTAGAGAGGCTCACAGAACTTGGGAAACACTCTACTTACTTTTACCCATGTATTATAAAGGAGGTGACAAAGGATGCAGATGAAGATATGCACAAGAGCAAGGCTTGTGGGAAGAGGTGCAGAGCTTCCATGCCCTCTCTGGGCACAGCATCCTCCGGGCACCTCCAGGTGTTCAGCTGTCCAGAAGCTTGTCTGAACCCAATCCTTTTTGGTTTTTAAGGAAGCTTTGTTACATAGGCATGATTGATGAAATTGTCAGCTATTGGTGACATAGACATGATTGATTAAAATCACCACCTCTTCAGAGGTCAAGGGGTGAGGTTGAAAGTCCCAACTCTCTAATCACTTCTTGGTCTTTCTGGTGATCAGCCCCATCCTGAAGGTGTCTAGAGGCCCCAGCCAACAGTCATCTCATTAGCATGCAAAAGATACCCTTTCTACTCTGGAGATCCCGAGGATCTTAGGAGTTGTATTGCCAGGAAACATGGATGAAGAACAAATAGTACATATTTTGTAATACCACACACAGCAATAGGAAACTAATACAGCCATGGAAAGATCAGCAAGTGGAACCTGAACTCTTAGAGTGGGGGCCTGACCTAGCCTCTCTGCAGAGATCAGCACTGGACTTTCAGACTTGAGGCAGAAGGAATCTTAGCAGGGAGATGAAAAGACCGTGTTGGGTTCAATGTGAATTCACATCTGCCACACTTAATGTTCAGTGATTCAACAAATATTTATTGAGTGCTGCAGTAGGCATTGAGAACGCAGAGGTGAATATAGCACAACGTGTGCCCTTAGGCAGCTTAGTGCACAGGAAGAGAGATGGAAAAACAAAATTATGACAGAGTGATGAATTACAGTATGTGTGTATGTAGCTTAGACTTAAAAGAAGGAAAAAAAACTTCAGAAACACTCTCTTGTACCCGTCCAATCTCTCAGCCCATCCTGTTGGTTCTATTTTCAACATATGGGCAGAATGAAGCCACTTCTCACCACTCTACTGCTCACACCGGGTCCAAGCTACCATCACCTCTCACCTGAATTACTGCAATAGCCCCTACCAGGGGTCCATGCTTCTATATCTACCACGTTCTATTCTCAGCACAGCAGCCAGAGTGAGTCTTTGAAATCAGAAGTCAGATATGTCACCCTCTGCTCAAACCCCAAAGTGGCCAAAGTGCCTACTGCAGTTCCAAGTGCCCTGCACGACCAGTTCTCCTCCACCCTTCGGCTCTCCCTGGCCTGCTCACTGTTTCTTGAGCTCACTGGGCATGGTGCTGCCTGAGAACACTTGCATGGGTGGTTCCCCAGCCTGGGGACACCTGCATGGCTAACTTCCTTGCCTCCTTTTTTGTCAGCTGTCACCTTCTCAATGAGGCCTACCAATTTAAAAATCAGAAACCCAATCATGGGCATGGTGCTGCCTGAGAACACTTGCATGGGTGGTTCCCCAGCCTGGGGACACCTGCATGGCTAACTTCCTTGCCTCCTTTTTTTGTCAGCTGTCACCTTCTCAATGAGGCCTACCAATTTAAAAATCAGAAACCCAATCAACCCCAACTCTCAGGCTCTCCTAATGCCCGCTATCCTGTTCTATTCCCCTCCAGTACTTTCTGCCTTCGACATCTGCTATGATTTACTTATTTATTACACTTATGATGTATTGCCTGTTCCCCCTGCAAGAATGTAAGTAGTCAGGGTAGGGATTTTTGTCTCCATTGTGTACTGCTGAATCCCAAGTGCCTAGAATGGGACTGGCATGTAACAGGCACTCACTAAATATTCGGTGTCAATGACAATGGGGAGTGGTCAGAGAAGGCTTCTGGGTGGATGGCTGAACTGAATCTTTTTTTTGGTGGCTGGCTGGTACAGAAATCCAAACCTTTGACCTTGGTGTTCTTAACACCACTCTCTAACCAACTGAGCTAACCTGCCAGCCCTAAACGGAATCTTGAAAGATAAATAGG